GATAGATAGATAGATAGATAGATAGATAGATAGATAGATAGATAGATGACCTCTAATGGCGTCTGTCGTTATCTTCTTTGTTCACTAGATGGTGCAGTGAGACCATTTTTAGCTTATCCAGCCTATCTGAACCAATAAGAAGCCCCTTTGCTCTGTGACAGACGCTTGCATTCAAAATAAGAGCTCAACTCTATCTGAATGAGTTCAGCACCCATTCACCGCAGTACATAAAACTAGCACGTGCTCTTTTAGTTTGACACGTCGCAGAATTCTCTTCCGGAAGTGGAAAACTCCGGTGTCCGTGGCGGATGTATGAGTCGTAACGATGGCAGCTCCAAATAGGAAGCAGATGATGAGGTTTCTCTCCCAGCTAGGAGCGTTTATTCTGACCCGGTTCGGGTTTTGGAATTGCTTCTGTATGCTGATGTTGTTTGCTGAAAGAGCGGATTCAAAAAGGTAAAGAAATGGCGGCTAACAGAAAAAATAGCCCGCTAACATTAGCTTCCAAGCTAACGACACTGTGTTAAACTGCAGTTCAATGTACCGAAATAACCAAAAATTGCCACATGTTTGACTCAGAGTCAGCATATAGACAAAGCATAGTCAAAACTTGTTGTTGAAGGTGTAAACCAGCCTATAACAAAGTGGTATGTCAGTAAACTGTGAGATAAGATCTCAGTCAAAGTGCCTCGTTTTCACGTTGCATTATTTAAATTAAACGATATTTACTATATTATGTGATGTTGAACCTGATAGAACTAAGATAGTTGTCTGTTAGTTTTATATTTCATTGTTCTAATTATATTCTGCTGTGGACTGGGTGTGTGTTTTAGTTTGGTCTGTGGTGGGCTGGTCAGACTTAACCCTCCACACCCCTCACAGTTACTCTGTAATTAGAACAACTCCCAGGAAAATGTGCATGTACCTGCTGGTTCCTCCTACTCGGCTTATTTCTGCCACAAAAAATAAATGTTCTTTTAGTGCTGAATTTACAAGAAAAGTCTTACTTAAAATCAATGTTTGCTCATTTATATTTTTCTTAATAATTATTCAAATGTAGATTTAATTTGAGATTTTACTTTTTTTTTCCCCTCTGGGGGGAAGAAGTAGCCAGTGAGCGCAAAGAATCTCTCAGATTTTCATCTAAAGTATCATTATTTTTTATTTCAATTTGGGATACTGCAGGCAATATGATTTATTTTTTGTAAAGCTTATTTTGTTTAAAGCTATTTTATTATAAATGCATTTACAAATCAATTAAAAAACAAAAAATACATGATACAGTATAATATAATACAATGAAATTACACAAAATCACATTGACTGACAGCTAAACTTCAAATATAAATACCAAGCCTATGGGAAAAAAACAAGTTTTGAATAAGATCATTGTTAACTAAACGTTTCCAGAAAGTTTGATTTTTCCTTCCTTTTGATTGACTCCTGTCTCCAGGAAGCCGGACATCCACATTCCGTACCTGTATGTGGACATGGGAGTGGCCGTCCTCTGTGCTAGCTTCATGTCGTTTGGGGTGAAGAGGCGGTGGTTTGCAATGGGCGGCGCGTTACAGCTGGCCATCAGCACCTACGCGTCCTATGTGGGAGAACAGGTGCATTATGGGGACTGGCTTAAGGTGAGTGAGGCACCCGGTACCCACTTTTAAAGATGTCTGGTCACTGTTTCCAAATGTTAACAGTTATGTAACATTATATTTAATCATATTTAGATGATTTGTAATTTGTCCTATAGTTAAGATTAAAATCAAACTTCACAAAAGGGTTAGAACTGGTCTCACTTGGTTTTGTAAGACCACGAACTGCTGTAACATAATATATGTGTCAGATCTGAAATGAAAATGGTTTTCATCCATGTAGAAATATTAATCGAAAACAGATCTGTGTCACTCCTGAAGGAGAAAATTGGATCTGGGACACTCCTACCAGCCTGAGAGTCTTTCCCGTTATTAAACCAGAGTCACTGTGATGTGAACTTGGCCCAGATAGTCACGGCGTGAACCTCGTTGCCCCGCAGGTTCGGATGTACTCCAGAGCTCTGGCCATCATCGGAGGCTTCCTGGTTCTGGCCAGCGGGGCCGGGGAGCCGTACAGACGGAAACCACGCAGCAGATCTCTGCAGTCCACCGGACAGGTCTTTCTCGGGGTGTATCTCATCTGCGTGGTAAGACTTTTAGCATCTAAATCTGGATTTTAAACCAAAAAGACAATACAACTGTGATCGGCTGTGTACAGATTGATTTGAAGTATCACTTTTTTTTTTCATAATAAAGTGTGTACATATATTTCTTTTATTATATTCCGTTTTTTGGTTTGGAAAAGGCTTTTTTCTGGTTTCGTTTCAAGCCTTGCCGCTCTGTCCACCAGGTGTACTCGCTGCAGCACAGCAAAGAGGACAGGCAGGCCTACGTGAACCACATAGTCGGGGGGGAGGTCACGGTGATGCTGCTGGAGGTGCTGTTTGGCGTTCTGGCTCTGGCCTTCCTCTCGGGCTGCTACATCCGGCTGGCCGCTCAGATCCTGGCCACGGTCCTCCCCCTGGTGGTCCTGCTCATCGACGGGAACATCGGCTACTGGCACAACACCCGGAAGGTGGAGTTCTGGAACCAGATGAAGATGATCGGCCATAACGTGGGCATCTTCGGCGCCGTGTTGATCCTGGCCACCGACGGCTGAACCCCGCCCGACATTTCCAGACCCAAGCGTCTGTCCAGGATAAGATGGCCGCCGCCTTTTTGGCCGCCGCCTGAATTTGTACTCCAAACTGCCGCCGTTCAGAGACTTCTCAGGATCCAAAACGCTCCGGCCCAAGCTGAGCTGCACCGTTTGTCTTTGCCTGCCGGGTGGGGGGTGTCGCTTTTGC